GTAAACTTGGAGAATTGGGCCTCACCGATGAAATTCTAAATCGTTATGATGCTACGTATCAAGGCTTAGTTAAAATTATCTCGGATATTCGAACCGTGTGTCCTTTGTTGGCGTTTGCACGCGCTCAAATCAACGTACCATTCTACGTGGTTACTCAAACGGGCGGCGATCATACGATTGCCGATGCTGATGCCGATATTCAAGCGATTTTGGGTCGATATGAACCAAAAGATTACCTACAACGACAATATACATCAGCCATACAAAAGCTTTTCTATCATTATGTAGCGAACGGTGAACTCAACAAATATGAACCACGAAAACCAGTGTTGGAAATTGGTCAAGATGTGTTTGCGGTCGAGAATTATCCAAATTGTGATTTCTGGATTAACAAAGATATTGTACCCAAATATCAACGAATCGATTAATTTTCATATCATTCGTATGAATAACTTTTCAAAGCGCACAGTCAACATTATTAAATTGTACCAAGTGCTTCTACACACAAAAAACAAGTAGTCAATATATTGTTCACTTTAGATCAGAGGATTGCCTTAATCACTCCATATTGATTGATTAGATAGCGTTTACTCATCACATTCAAGTTATGACACGCTTTTGGCATTTATAATTAGGCAAATTTTTAAGTGGAAAAGAAGGAAAATATTTAGTAGAAAATGGAGAAATGCATCAAAAATGAAAAACAAATTAGTAATCAATGTCGAGAGAGTATATTACCTTTAAATGGTTTACCAACTAATATATATGTGCCTTGTCTCAATCTACGTAAAATAACTATACAAATATACAAATTGTTCTGGAATGAAATAATATCATACCATAATCTACCTCATAAAAACGGACCTCAATTTTGATAAAAATTAATATATAATGTGCACGGATATTTATTACGAAATATAATTTATCCACTGAGATTATTCGATATTATTATATATAGATTGTGAAATTAAATAAGAAATTGACCTCTTGTGGCTTTGTTTAAAATTCTTCGAATTATTTTTCTTTACTTTCGCCTAGAAGGAATTTCAAGGCCAAAAATAAGTAAGTATTCATGTTATTAGCAAAAAAAAACACTCAAGTGATAAGAATACCCAGGGAATGGGATGCGATATTTTATCTGCCTTTTGCTCTTCAAACCTTTGTTTACTCTTCAAATTCGACATTTTGGAAAACGACTAATTAAGAACCGAAATTATTCACGCTGGAGGTTGAAAAAATCCCACATTTGCCTTTAAAAGTAGGATAAACTACATTGTTGAACAAAGAGAAAAAAAACTCGATTCTACCTTATTCATTGGAATTTATTATCATCTCATTTATAACTGTAAGTTGTAAGAAAAACAAACTGGTAAAAAAACTTAAGCTTACCAAGACATATCTTGCAGTCAATTCTTAATAGTAAATCTTATCGTGATAACTTAGGGCTTGAGCGTATTTATTTCTCGCGAACAATTTATCAAAAAAGAAATGTGAATACACCGACAATTACATCGGAAGAGAATTAAAAGAAAAATACTGCTGAAAACGCTTTTAGACGGAATTCATTTGGAATATTCTGCATTTATGTTCGCTGAGAGTGGCCAAATATGAGCTGTTATCCAAGTACACCGGGCACATGTCCAGAACATCTTCATCAATATTAAATCCTTGCATTTTGGTGCCGTTCTTTGAACTCCATATGCTCACCGTCTTCATGTCTTGTAAGTAGTTTGCAACAAGTGAGTCGTTTCCAATGTTTATCTGTGTGCTACGTACCAACTTAGGCTGTATTCGGGATCCAAGTATTGTGCATTCGACACGCAATACTGTCGTTTGATCGATTTTTGTCAATCTAGCCACAATAAGGCGTGCTTGTGGATATCTTCCGAGGCGAGTTGCAATCAATAGTAGACCGTTTTGTTCGTTAAAATTAATCGATACGAATGGCCCTTCAACTACTAATTTTGTTTGTTCGATACGCTCCGATGCGGTATATTCATAGAACCATAAGCTGGTCAATTTACAAACGATAAAACCGCCAAAACGAAATTCATTTGATACCGGAATGGGTTCGATGCCAATGACCGGAGATAGATCACCGGGTGTTTTTAGCTCTTCGACAGGTGCCAAACAATTTCGAACATCGTAAATGTATGTGATGCCTTGCTGTGAGCCAATGTGCAGGTAGCGCGGACGAACTTTATCGAATGATGTTGCCCATATTTTTTGATTTTCCGATGGTGTTATTGTTGTGATCGAATTATGATTGGTAACACTATAGATATATGCGTTTGTATCTTGTGATGCTGCTGCTAAAAATTCTTCGTCGGTATCGAGTGATAAATCACGAATTGGATTGGCTGATATGCGAAAATAAAGTGTTGGCTGAAAATCGTGTGCTCTGACAAAGCGTACACCATAACCCTGAAATAATGTAACTGACGATTTTTGTGAGACCATCAATGTTTTAATACGTCGACCATATGTCATTGCTCGGCAGCCTCCTTCTCGATTCAGGTCGATGTTCTTGAGCATCGCCATTTTGTACATTATATCTCGGTGCGTTGACGTTTGCGGTGCATCGTTGAATATTCCAAATTTCTTTATTTTATTAAATTCAATTTGAAGTTTTGAATATTCTTCATTGCGAACAGCCAGTTCAAGTTTGATTGCGCTTAATGTGCTTTGTAGTTCAACATTCTTTGACTTTTCGGCTTCGAGTAGGTCTTGTAGGCGATATTCTTCACTTTTGTCGGCAACAACAATACGTTTTGCATATAATGGGCGGAGATCACGAGGTGCTGCTTTATTTTTACATGTCGGGCAACATTTCGCTTGTGGTGCACATTCATGAATCCATCTAACAATTTTGTTTTGAACAATGAGTTATCTAGGGTCATGATGAAATGTTTGCTTTAATTGATTTATACCTTCGAATACAGCTGTCTCCAAATAGATGGCCACATTTCAACGATACCAAACGATGCTCTCCTTTCGATTCCCATGAATCTAAGCAAATCGAACATGTTGATCCGTCGTCATCGTCATCGTTTAGACGTGGTGGTGGTGCCTTCTTTGGTGAGTCTGATTTTCGAGATTGTGACCTAAAATCGAGTTTTTGTGTTAGTTTGTGATCTCCATTGTTGTGTATTCAACATTTACATCACTTTCACAAAAAAAAAAAAAAAATCAAAAATTACCTTTTACGCTTTTTTCGATTTGGTGTGAGATCTGCATCATTACCCGATTCAACTGGTCCCACTTCAACTAGTTCGTTTTCTACATTAACTAGACGTTCCACATAAACTTGTTGGTCATTGCGATTTATACTCAAATCATTGTCTGCTGCATTTATTTCTCCGGGTTGAACAATTATCATTTCAATGTGTCTCGATATAACGCTTGTTTCGATCGGTTCAGAAATGGCTTCATTTCCCGTTTCATTGCTTCCTAATTTATAGAAAACAAATAATCAACCATAATTCATTGAGTATAGAACAAAAGAAAGATCCATTCAACATGATAAAAATGGCATCACAAAAACTACGAACCTTCACTATCCATATTTGTTTCAAGTACATTTAGTTGAATTTCAATGTTACATTCGATTTATACAATCCAAAGAAATTGAATTTTTGACACAAAAATCATCAGCAACTATATCTTATTTCACCAGTTCAAATTTATACACAACAAATGATCCAATTGATTTATATAATTGTTTATTTAAAATAGCCACAAAATCAAACCACTGGCAACAAAAATTTCATTGTTCAGATATTCGTAGCAATGTTTGGTGACAGAGATAGAATAACAACAAAGCATAATTTGATGTGCTTTAGCATGGTCAAAATGAAAACAAAGCAACAACGTTGACTTGACTAATACACAAAAGCAGCATAGAACGTACCCATTTCGACGCATTGAATCAATGCATAAAACGAACCAATTCAAAAGTTATTCTAACTTACAAATCAAATTGCATTCTTTTTTTATTCATTTCATCGAAATTCATATTTCAATTTCTTTTCTAAACAAAAAATATGAATAAGTTGATTTTTTTTAAATAATTTATATAAACCAAACATATGTGATGGTCTTATATATATGTATGGACGTTTGACAGCTGTCAATGGTGTTGCACGTGAATATTGCACATAAAGTACAACATCATTTCTCGGATAATCTACAATTATTTGTGCAAGTGGAACAGAGATCTCAGCAAATATGGGCACTGTGAATAATAATGTAACAAATGCAAGCGACCACGATTTAGGCGATAATCTCAAAGTTTTAGTGCAAAATGACCAGATCCAAGAGCTACAGACGATAATTCGCGATAGGTAATCGAAATGCGATTCAACACAATTGCATTTCAAAGTGAACGAAATGCTTTGCCAGAATAAAACTCGATCATAAAATGAACATGATTTCTTTTCTCTCAGGAATACAAGCAGAAGTGATTTCATATTTTATGCGGATCGTTTAATCCGGCTAGTCATTGAAGAGAGTTTAAATCAATTGCCATATTCAGATTGTTCCGTTGTGACGCCAACTGGTGCCATTTATGATGGTTTGAAGTACGAATGCAAAATAAATTCTGTTTAAATTGTTTATAACAAAGAGAAAAAAAAAACACTAATCGATTTGCATTAGGTACCAGTCAGGCAATTGCGGTGTGTCCATTGTTCGTTCCGGTGAGGCAATGGAACAAGGATTACGTGATTGTTGTCGATCAATTCGCATTGGAAAAATTCTAGTCGAATCGGATGCCGAAACACATGTTGCCAAAGTAGTTTATGCACGTTTTCCCGACGACATTGCAAAACGTCAAGTTTTACTTATGTATCCTATTATGTCGACTGGCAATACGGTTGTCCAGGCGGTTAATGTTTTGAAGGAGCACGGTGTAAAAGAGTCATCAATTATTTTATCAAATCTATTTTGTACTCCGCAAGCGGCCAAAACAATATGCACCGCTTTTCCGGATATGAAAATTCTCACGTCAGAGCTTCATCCAGTTGCACCAAATCATTTTGGACAACGATACTTTGGTACAGATTAAGCACATTTACTTAAGCAAAACAAAACAAAAAATAAATAAATCAACCAGTCATACCAACGACATTGACATCGATCAACAACAATGTTTCATCCAAAATCATAACATTAATTTATAAGTATCGATAACATTGTATTTATATTTGTATAAAACAGAGTATTGCTCAACGCTGCTGCCATCCACAGCATATTAAAATATTTGGCTGAGAATGCGTCGTCCGTCGCATGTGAATGTACGTAGCAGTTTACACATCACAGCGAACAAGAATGAATGCATTGTTCTCTTCACGATTATGTCACTCAAAACATTCAAACGATTGTATAGAGAACAATGCAATGTATTGTACCTTCGCATGCGACGGACGACGCATTCTCAGCAAAATATTTTAATATGTTGTGGATGGCAGCAGCGCTGAGCAATACTCTGGTATAAAACATTTATCATCTAATCAAAGTAACATAACTTACTAATGCTACATGTGATGATATTTCATTTTCTACATTCACATCTGTTTGCGCAGCACTAATAAATTGTATTGTGAACGGATTCATTTAAATTGCATTTCAGCCATATTCAAATCAAAATCACTGCATTCATAAACTATATACCAAATTCGTTTTTTTAAATTTCATTTTAACATAATACTCGAATTAATTGCTGCAACAGTCACTTTTTATTTGAATTTGATACTAAATTAATCAATGAATCGAAATAATTAAGAAATCAATTGCATGAATTCAAAAATCATAAAACATAAACAGAACATTGTGTTTTTTAAGAGTCATGTCGAACAGGAACCAAATCGAATTAAGTCAATTTTAAAATTGTGAAATGAATTTATTGTTTTATTAAATATTTTTCTTGTACAATGTATTAAATTCACCGTTCTGTGTGAATTTGCACAAAAAATCAATGAAATTTATTTGTTTTCTTTTTATTACTTATAAAGTGTTTAAGAAAAAACTTTTGTTTATCGATGATTTTTAGTCTTACATCTCCATGGCATGCTCGTCATGTGAAGTACCTACACAATAATAAACAACAGCAACAATACATACATTAAATTGACTGTAGAATGAGTTAACTGAAATGGTTTGGTAACCATTCATAGAATGAGTTACCAATTCAAATGAATTTACCATTTCCATTCTCGGCATTTAGATTTTCTGGAATGTTACCGGATTGTAATATTCGTGTGAGCCGTTCAACCTCATGCAACGATGTTGCATTCTTGATTGCATCTCGAATTCTTTGAACATCTTCAGCAGATGTGGTTGAAACTAGAAATATGAAAAAAAAAAAATCGAAATCATCAATTAATTACAGTAGCCATACTTGCTTTGTTCATTGAAATTGTCGTTTACACGCAACAATGTGTGTTTAAAATATATAAATTTACCCTTTGAATTGTTTGCATCAGCCGATGGATTTTCGGCTGCTGCTTTTGCTTTCTTTGCAATCTCTTTCAGTAGTTCTTTTCCTTTTTTACTTCTAAACAGTTCAACAGCGGCTTGTCGATCTTTTTGTCGAATTTTACGGAAATCCAAGAGTCGTAGCTTTGGAAATCTATCACAAATAGAACGGAACAAGTTCAAATGTCAAGAATCAACTATCGATATAAATATGTTGGCATTTACTCACTTATAGGCAACGTATTCACGATAGTGAGCATCTGTTGTGATTGGGTTGGTGAGTAGTGAAAGCGTTTCAAGTTTGGTAAGTGACAAAAGTGCATCTAAATCACTAAAATCCTGAATATTATTTCCTGTTAAAATAAGACTCTCCAAATTTGGTAAGAATTCATGTAAATTATCTGCTATCCGGCTGTAAAACAATAACAAAATCAAATCGTTAACAAAATCTATGTTGCAAGCATTGAATATAACATACACAATACGATTGTTGTTTAGAAGCAAGCATTTGATTCGTGGCAGATATGGAAAACCATCCAAACGACGCAAATCGTTGTCAGAGAAATCAATTGTATCGAACTGATCAAGTGTGGCGCCCATATTTTCAATTTGTGGTATTTTATAACCTACAACGAACAGACAATTTTTTCAACATTTCAGTGTGTGTATTTTTTTTTAAATAGAAAAACTAATACAATTTTGGATGAGAATTAGAAAGCATCACAAAACAACATAACCTTTAATTTGTGTACAAATGTAAAATATTCTTACCGCGCAGATCCAGTTCACGATCTCGGCATGGATTTATGTACTGCATCGATGCATTTATTAATTCGGGCGTTAGCTTAACCATTTTGAACGATTTGTTTCAATAATAAAAATTAAAAATTGATCTCAATGGTTGACAAAACAAACCTACAGCGGCAAATGTCTATCACTGGCAATCGATGCACGCAAAAACATCGAAATGTCAAAACGATTTATGTTTGCGATGAAAACCATGCAATATGCTACATTACCGATGTTTATAATTCATTAAACAATGTGAGAGAGTAAAATATAAATGTGTCAAACTGTTAAAATGTCAATTGTTTACCACTTATCGTGTGATTAATGTAAAATTAACAATGAATTAAGAAAAAAATATTCAATATTTTTGTGAATGATAAAATAAAAAATATTTGCTATTTTGTTTGTAATGATATTGTCATAAATATTGTGTGTATTGATGTGATGTGATTAAAGGTTTCGACGATATCAACCATGGAGCAATCTTATTATTTGGAATTATGTAGTGATCCCATTCGCTTTGATTCAGTTAGCCAATTAACAGATGTATTCTTCGATGATTCAAATAAACAGGTTTGCATTCATCGTTTAAACATTTTGTAAATCAGTATTTATCATATCATCAACATTTTTCCATAAATAAAAATCAGTTGTTTGCTGTACGATCTGGTGGTGCGACTGGAATTACTGTTAAAGGACCAACTGAAAATCAAACGCTCACCTTTTGTATGGATGACAAAGGACCGATGCGTTCGATAAAATTTTCACCCGATAAAAAATTGCTGGCCATTCAAAGAACAGAGAAATGCATTGAATTTATCACATTTGTAAATAATCAACCAAATGTTAACGAAATCATTGTGCATCAAAGTAAAAGTACAATTGTCTATGGATTCGTATGGATACACAACAGAGAAGTTGTATTTATATCAAATACTGGTGTTGAAATTTATACGGTCAATGTGGAGAAAAAACAATTAAAATCGATAAAATCGATGAACTTAACGGTGGATTGGTTTTCATGGTGTCCAACGGGAAATTTAGCGGTGCTTGCATCGAACAAAGGAATGTTACTCACACCAATTCTCATCAAACAGGGCGGCGTTATCACTAGACTACCCAAAATTGAATGTATGCTGGACATTCTGTACTTTGTAAATTCGAAAATATCTAATGTTCTCTGTGTATTCTTTTAGGGAAAAGTGAACACGGCATTCCGGAGAGAGATTTAACGTTAGCAGAAATATATGGCACTTTAGCCATTTTAATATTGAAACCGACCTCCACACGATTGGTTGAAGTTATAATTTATCTATTGAATGGACCAGGTCTTGCTCCAAAAAAATCCCATATTCTTCAATTGGGCCACAGTGGTCGTTTTGCTATGAATATTGTGGATGATTTAATTGTAGTCCATCATCAGGTATTATGACATTCAATAAAAAGAGAGGGGAAACATAAAGATTTTACTAAACTCTTTCGATATCTTTGCTTTAATTTTGAAATTCAGGCTTCGGCTACTTCATTGCTATTTGACATCAAATTAACTACTGGAACGGTTTCAAATAATGATGTTACGTGCCACACACCTATAACACTGGGAAGACCAATTAAACCATTTTCACTGCAAGTTCCAAGCTTGTCGTTGGATGGTAAAACGAAAAATTCACTTAAAAATTCCCTTTCTATTATTAATTAATTCTTTTTCGATTATGTGCGATTATTTTAAATTAATTCTATTCTTTTCTCTTGTGATTCTCTCCTTAGGTAAAACTAAAAATTGTGAATTATGTAAGTGAAAACCCTTTTTTTATATTTGCTCTTTGTTGTCTTTGAAATTTTCATTTTTGATTACATTTTATACTCAGATTCACCGAATTGGGTTTTATTCCAACCAAATATTGTAATTGATGCAAAAATTGGTTGTTTGTGGTATGTAAAACTTCGTCTGGAGTCTCTGTGTAATTTGGTCACCGATCGAGTCAAATTGGTAGAACTCTTACTTAACCGGACAAATGCAAAACTAGTGTTGCTGGGAACACTGAAAGAGATGCTTAGCTATCAATACAATGGAAATCTATTGCCTGTGATTGAAAATGTCTTTGACAAACTGAATGTGGTTTATTCGTAAGTTGATCGACATACAAATGTGAATCATAAGTATATGAAGAAGAATATATTATTATTTTTTTTATCTATGCAGGAGTTGGGTTACAACCGAATTACAAAATATTACAGCACAACCATCATCTGCCAAACAAGTGGCCAAAACAACGACCGTGCCGCGCGTTCTAATCGATCAAAATGATTTATTTGTCAACATTTTTTCGAATTTAAGCGATTCGACCTACATCGGCAAAATAATAATGTTGTACATTACCTCTTTGGCCAAACATAATATTGCTGCACAACATGATATTAGCAAGCTTGTAATCGTTGACTTAGTGCGACGCAAACAATTTGATACATTACAGAATTTAATTAAATTCTCCTTGATTAATGAATCGAAAGTGCTTGCATGTTTTCTACTTTCATTATCGCATGAGCATCCATCTGTTACGCAAATGGCCTTGGATATGCTGCAAAAACTAAACGCAGAAACGGTTTGTATCCAAACATTAAAAATAAGATAATGCAATTTCATTAAACCAAATTTCGTTCCGGTTGTTTGTCATTTCAGATAATAATTGAGGTTCTTTTAGGCCAGGGAAAAATCGTCGAAGCTCTGCGATTGGCCAATTCATTAACAGGAGCCGAAAATTTGTCAGCCCGTAAATACTTAGAAGCTGCAAAGAAAACCAATGATTCAATTGTTTTTTATACGGTTTATACATGGTTTCAGCAGCGCAATATTCGTCAGCGTGGCTCCCCTGACTTCCTTAAAAGTATTATTGAATTTATTAAATGTTTATATTGTTTTCCAAACATTTTCAATTCTGTTACATTTTGTTTACAGCCGAACTCTGTGAAGAATACATAAACCACTACCAAAAATTATACTGTAGTTGATTCACTTCTCATCTGCTCGTGCAATCTTAACGTCTAACCGTTTGGCCGTGCATATTTATCTTCAATTTGGACTTTGTGAGTTCATCTGATTCGACGCATGCAAACAATAGTTTTAACAGAGATATAGTAAACAAAATTATAGTATTTTTATTGGTTTTAACATTTCAATCAAATAAATAATATTTTCACAATCAACCGAAATTCGTTCCTTTTCTTAATATTAAAAATACAATTAAATAATAATTTGTCAACAATTTGAATTGGTACATATTAAATTAATGATTTTGCCACTAAAGCGTGATGTTATTAAATCCATCCGACAAAGAAATGCGAAAAGATATAATTTTAATGGTTAGCTGCGCAACGCTTGAAAATACATGGGCTTTCTTCAGTCATTGACAGTCAGTTCATCGGAAGATATAAGATCATGAGTCAAATTGAAAGTAACTGTGATAATAATCGACAATGATAGCTGGACTGCTGATGACGTCCTTCACTGTTGCCCGTTCCTGTACATCTACAATCATCATTTTTTCAACCAAGTCAACCATATCTTTGTTGCATGGATGTATATGTGGATTGATCGGTGTGTATGCTTTGGTCAATGTGCATCGAATCAATTGGTCCATAGACTGAAACAAAATTCAAAGGTAAAACAAAATTATTACTTATTGAATTGCAATCCGAAAAATTACCTCAACGAATCCGAAAGCTGGCTGTAATGTGCAGAGTTCATATAAAATGCAACCCAGTGCCCAAATGTCTGAAGAAAAAGTATATTGATTGTGAATCAATGTTTCTGGTGCCATATAAATTGGTGAGCCACCTGCTTCCTTAATTTTATTGCATATGAAGATGTTGTCACAGCTGTTGTCACTATAAATAAAAAAAGAAGGATCAGTCAAAACAAAATAGATTTGGGCGCTTCATCTAAAACTTACGTTATTTTCGAAATACCAAAGTCGGCGATTTTTAAATGCTCGTTGTCAAATATTAAAATGTTGCACGGTTTGAGGTCCTGTTTCAAGATGAAAAAAATTAACGGAAAATTGTTGTATCATTTTATAAAAACACAGGTTAACAATTGTGTATGTATTTTTTTTTTCGAAGTCCTACTTACCTTATGTACTACGTTTTTCATATGTAAATATTCGATACCAAGCACCATGTCAATCAGAAATTGTTTAATTTTCTGCAATTAAATTGCATTCTTGTTAAAAATTGGTTTGGAAAAATGTGATTTAAACATCCAAATCGATCGCTCACTTGTTCATCAAAAAATAAATGTTGAGCACAATTTTCCGCAATAATTTTGGACAATGAACCGAATGCTGCATATTCCATGACAATATAAACATATTCGTCGTCAGTTTCAGAACAGAAGTATCCATACATACTGATGATTCGTGGATGGGCCAGATTTTGTAGCAGATATATTTCGCGCTGAATCATGCCAAGGTGTTTACTTGCCGCATCATCAGATGCATTGTTTAATTTGATCTGTTTGATGCACCGCATATCATTGTTTTGATCCATACACTTGTACACAGTACTGAAAATGTTTATTCATTTGATTGGTGTCGAATAAAATGAGGATTTTTGCTTGATGACTTACCCAAATGTTCCAGTTCCAATGTTTTCAACGACTGTAAAACCGCATTCATCCATTTTTATTGTTGATTATGCGATAAAATAAGACGAATATAAGGACAATACAAATGAACAACCGACATTCAAATGACCGTGTAATTTTTCGGGAAATCTAGTTTTTTCTTCATAAAATACGTGCTAACGGGTTTTAACAAAAACAATTTTGGAATAAATGAATGCATTAAAAACATCGCACACATAGTTTGGACATTGAACGCTGATGTGTTGGGAATTGAACGTTTTCTTTGATGCTTTAAGAACTGTCACATTTGCTGGCGTTCATTATTTTGTGTACGAATTCATCAAAGTCGCAACATTTCATTAGAAAATCAATTTAATTCAACATTTTAAATTATAAATTTTAAGTGAAAGCACCAACCAAGTCAAGCCAAGTCATTATGTCGCTGGCCATGCAAAAGCGTAACAATGTGAGTAAACAAAACAATAAATTTGTGATATCTGTATGCATTGGTGCATTGGTGTATTGTGTACAATGTTCATTTTATTTTTAATATTTGTTTTAAAATAAATCTCCTCATCTTATTTCAGATTCGCTTGCCACCAGAAGTGAATCGTGTACTTTATATCAGAAATTTACCATACAAAATTACATCAGATGAAATGTACGACATTTTTGGCAAATATGGAGCTATACGACAGATCCGAGTGTAAGTATTTCTTTTATGCTTAAATTGCTGGAATATTTCTCATATTCAAATGAGTTTTGTTTCAATGGCAATGGCTTCATGAGCTTCAAATCATCTTTCTTCTTCAAATTCTTTGAATAATTCTTTATTATCGTGTAAATTTGCAGTGGAAATACACCTGAAACACGAGGCACCGCATTCGTTGTATATGAAGACATATTTGATGCAAAAAATGCTTGCGACCATTTATCCGGTTTCAACGTTTGTAATCGTTATTTGGTTGTGCTTTATTATCAATCGAACAAGGCGTTCAAGCGATTAGATGTAGACAAGAAACAAGAAGAGCTAAACAACATTAAGACAAAATATAACATTGGTACCGATGAACTAAGCAAATAAATTGTACATCAAAATAAAATTTTACCTAGGTTAACAATAAAAGTCCATTCGAATTGAGTTTCTGTTGTTTCTATTTAAGTATATCTTTTATTAAAGTAAAAAAAAAATGAATATGAACAGTTTTAGGCGATAGAGAAACATCAAAACATTGAAACATTTAAACACTGAACATAACCTAATACATGTGCGTTGCTTTTGCTTGGCTTACAATCATCTCAAATATATTTAAAATTACAAAAGAAAAATAATAATCTTGTTTCTTTTCTTTTTTTTTTTTTTTTTTGTTCAATTCAATTCCAAATCAAAGATATATGTAGATTTCGGTTGATTTGTTGTTTTTGTTCTATTTCACTACATGTTACGCCAAATATATTGAAACATCGAAGCGGAAATAAAATAGAATTACTGCTATGTATAGATAAGAAGACGAGCAAATCTCATTGTGGATATTTGGGTGGCATTCAATCAGCTTCACCCTTTAAACGTAATCGTGCGAAATCTTCGAAGATAATATCATCATCTTTGAAATCATCATCTTCATCTAATTGAATAAGATTTCCGCTAGTTGAACTTTCGTTGTGCTCATCCGTTTTTGGAACGTGTGAACCAGTATTTGTTCGGGTTGTGGCTCTTTCTGGTACTGCAAAACATGGCTCATCGTCTTCTGGTTTTGGATGCATCAAGGTGAATGGAAGTTCGGCGACTAGATCACCACCCAAAATCGGACCGCCAATGCAAAGTTTCACTTTTACTTTGTATTGAACGATAATTCCCAAATTTTCTCGATGCGCTGGATCGGTAATTATTGTGCTTGACGCCAAATTGCTATCATCGTGTTTCAGTTGACCGTCTAATGCTAGGCCACGTTTATCTTTATTATCCTTAAGCAATGGACGTAATGTTAAAACTTTGCTTAATGTGAAACCTGGACCAACCGGATTATCTTCGGATTCAATTTCGGCAACGGTGCATTTGTATTGTGCCGTTGAAAATAGGCAAATATCAGCAAATTGCCTCACTGACACTTTAATTTTTTTCACCGTTCGATTTGAATTATTTGCGATATGAACATTGACGGAAATGGTTTCGCCATGATGATACAGTTCCTTATCCAGGCTGGCCTCTAAATGAATTTTGTTTGGTTTCATCATAAACTCTTTGCTCACTTCAATTGACGGTTGTTCACCGATTTTTGACGGTGCATACATAATTTTTCGAATGGCCAAACGTACAGAGTTTCTCTTATGTGGTTTGTCATCAATGTGATCGCCAACGTACGTTTTTAATTCATAGTCAACGCCGCACGGTTTGCCCGTTTCATTTGGCGATGGTTGCAGTGATACAGAGGCCGGACAATGTGGTGGTACTTCAAAATAAAATGGATACGCATTTGAACCTAATTTTTTAATTAGTCGCTCCTGTAATCTGGTTAATGGTCGATCTTTATCGGTTCTCGGATAGATTTGCTCTTGTGCAACAAACAAATCTTTACGAAATGTTAAACCCAAAACATCTAAATCTTCGCGACCATAACGGAATGCCGCCAAAACGCTGCCAAATACTTTACGGTCCCTTAAATTTACATAATCGGGATCAAATAATACTACACCATCGATTGGATCAGTGTGTGTAAAATCTCTTTTTCCAAGATAAACCGTAATTTTTCCATTTGATGAACTCTTTTTGAATACTCTTGTCGCTTGACGTTTCGAACTATTTTCATCTGGCTCCGGATCGGGCGATGGAGTTGATAATTTACCAAATGGCACTAAGGACGTTGACATCTCTATCTTTTGTTGGTTTTAATAACTTTTGTTCAATTTTCTATGAGTTTTTTTCTATTATCTATCGGATACTGGACACAAATGAACACAAATGTATAAAAAAAAAAAATTCTTTGCTTAACTTTCGTATATTGCTCGCGCTTTAATTTTCGTTTGATGGCAATTATTAATTGAAACACCCCGCTAACATTGCTCCCGTATCAGATATCACACGTTATTGCTGTTTTGTGCATTGTTTGAAACTACTGGAAATTCAGAATAAAACCTATGAGTATACTTGTCAGTGATTGTACGTATTGATATCTTCAATTGTTTCACTTGTAAATTGATTGAGCAATTTATGGTATTTAACGATAACTCACACAATCGAAAAAGTCAAATCGATTATCACATGAAGAGAAATGATATTCAAATGAGTACATTGATAAAGAAATATATTTTTTTTTGGTTAAAAATCAAATATAATCCGTTTGTTTCTCGTTACAACACACACAAAAAAAAAATTCTTTCGATTGGAGTGGTGCTTGGTATTCATTTGTGGTGCAAGCGATGTAGTCTTTTATCTAGTTGAGTTGAGTTGAGTTAAGTTGTGTGCCTCTCTTTTCTTTTTTCAATGTTATTTTGTTGGTTCGCCACTGTCATTTGACAGTTGGTTGCTATGTGTCGAAAACATCGCACACTAGCAGCGACAGTGAGCATTAAAATCGCGGTACACCGTCAGGATGGCAGACAGTATAAATTTGAAAATCGACATGGATGCTACATGGAAAAAAAGTAGAATCTTGCAAAAAACTCTAAAACGGGACTCGATTTCAGTAAAACTACACTTAATTGTACAGAAAAACCCAAGTGTTCGTTTCAAATTCTTTCTATTTTACTTATTTTACGCAGCAATCACTTGAAGTTTATTATTATTATTTATTTTTGAGAATTGAGCAAAATATCAATTTTAGAACGGATTTTCTGACAAAAAAAAAACGCAAATATTTATTTTGTTTCATGCTGCAGATCATTTGATATTTTTCTACATTGTTAATGTTTGAAAACAAGAAACAAAAATGAACCAAGAAATTACGTAGACTGATCGAGGTTTTCTATTTTGGTGAAGTTGGATTGGGTAGTAGTAATTCGATGGAAAATGCCTATTTTTCCAGAAAAAAAATAGCTTGATGTATTTTTTCTCTCTCTATAATGCGATACACAAAGCAATAAATAGACAACTAATAGACAAATAGAAACAATTAAGTGTGCGTGAGAGTGAGAGAAAGAGAGAGAAGAAGGACAATCAGCAAAAATTACGAACTATTGAAAGCCAGATTTTTTTTTTCGTTGCTGAATCTTTAAAAGCATTGGCATTTTTACATATTCATTGATAAAGCCATTTAGTGTACAAGAAGACAAATTGTGTAATTTTTATGGAACTTATCACAAAAGAAGGAGAAAATTCCACACACGTATTTACAACAAAATCGAAGAAATTGATAAAAAAATATTATATTAAATACTATTGTGTTGAAATGTTTACGTGTATTTGATACAATTTAAGCCAAACTAAATCCCGTGCTTATTCAATGTGTTTAATTCAAAAATGCAACGAAAAGGACAACAGAAATTTTGAAGCCGAATCTATTTGGTGTTGTTGGTAATATCGAAACAAAAAAAAAAAAAAACAACGCAACAGTAACAGAAATTAATTAAATGAACGAAAGATAGATAGATAGAAAGAGAAAGAGGTAGAGCAAGAGAGAAAGAGAAAAGAGACACTTAAAACTTAGTTGAGTTAATCGCAGTACGTTTACTTCACATCCATTGGATTCCGTATGTGTTTGCGCGCATGTGAAAGTTAATGCAGTTATATAAAATGGTATAAAAATAAATAAAATAAAAACACATACAAACAACAACAGCAACGGCAGCAACATTTATAATCATAAATACGATAAAGAGCACACACCTAGACCAGAAAGTATGTACTAAAGAAATTGTTTTGACACCACACCTTCGCCCTTCATTAGGTATCAACCAATTTTAATAACATCAATTCAAACAAACGCATATTACAGCTGCAATTTACTCTGATAACAATGCTTGCATTTCATTTATTTCGAGGTAATAATATTCAGTAAAAACATTTCAGTTGGAATGTGTTGATGTTTCAACTTTTATTGGTAAATATCACTAGACCAAAATAGAATCCGACAGACGGAGCCACTGATTTTACAATGAATTAATTTACAAAATTGGTGTGTGTGTATATTGCTTATTTTTTATTGCGCTCTCAACACATATTCATTTGAATAAAGTGTCAATGTCTACCGGATTTTGTTAATGTATATGATATTTTTACTAATAAAAGTTAAAAGTAACGATACATTGCGTCTGAATATTTAAGCAACTGAGTATGTACATTACATCGATCATACATTGTAAATGTATTTGAGCATTTTTGGTGCTGGTTTCAATTTCAGTTTGGGTTTCGGTTTTAATTTCAGCTCATAAAAACAAAAAATAAAACTTACTAATGCGAAAAAGAAAACATACATTGATTTGTGTGTGTGCATTCAATACCATTTCGATATAATGGAATGATCACACCATTTTTATATGAGAAAATCTGTTTTAACCTCACTTCAATTTGACGGTAGCAGCAACAAATTCGAATGAAAATATGTATGAAACACAACACAGCAGCAACACGAGCAACACAACTACCATCAACTACAATAACAACAATAACAATATCATCATCAACTGAAATAGAAAATGTAACTATGTCAATAGATGTGTGTATTAATGTTGGCGTTTCTTGGTCAATTACCCATTCACACTGTTTCATTCCATTTCATTCTCTAACTGAACATACCGTGTTTTTACTTTTTATTCGAAAGGCAAAATCGATGCATGTTTCCAATTCATCTTTGAACATTGATTTACACGATAACAATCTGTTCTGTCTTCAAATCTTTCTTTCTGCCTCGCCCTCTCTCTATTTCTCTTTCTCTCTATAAAACTTTCAATAATTGTTTGATAGTATAGATAACATATACTTGATATTCGCGTTGATCATTTTCAATTTTCGCTTTTCCATTCCATATTTACAAATTAAATGATTCTGTCGAATATCTAAAACCGATTATTGCAGATATTACAAAGTGATCATGGTTAAGAATTAATCAGTTCAAGACACTGAACAAAAATACAATTCTACTTCAATGGTGATTGCGCCATTCATTCTCTTTCTTTCTCAATTTCGTTGCTATAATTCCATGACATACACATAGTGCATGTGATCATGTAAAGTTGTTATAACGGACTCATGTTGATGCGCACACAACACAACACTCAGAATAATTGTAATTGTTTCTGTTTTGTATAAAAAAGCAAACTGGTTATTTAAAGCACGTTGGCCAAAAGCGCAGCACAATTTAGCAGAATTTAACACACGTTTATTTGACTTATTACATATTGTGGGAGCATGATTATTTTTTTTATTATCATACGCGTACACAGAGAGAAAAAATGTGGTATTTTTAATTCAATTTTGGTAGATTTAATATAAAATCAACCAACAACGAATTAAATTTACCATTTTTGATATCTCCTTAGCCTTAGAGATGTCAAAAATAGTAAATTTATTTCGTTTTTGGTTGATTTTATATTAAATCTACCAAAATTGAATTAAAAATAACACATTTTTTCTTTCTGTGTAAGGTTTGGAATAACCTGAAATGCTGTTAATCTAATATCACCTAATATACACACGCAATTTGCGTTTATTTCATAATTCTCAAAATTAACTCATAATTTTTGGTTTGCATTAACAATATATATAAATACAATATATAAAAATACTAACACACACACACACGCTAAATATTATATTATCCCTTTTCTATGCTTAGTCAATCAAAATATGATATCGACGATTTACTTTGGAATGTGATTGAAGCGAAAAGCACATCGACAAGATAAACACATTTTTGTTTTTCTTGTGCAATATGAAACAAACAATGTAGGTGGATGGGTCATTTCAATTCACTGTGAGTGTTTAACAAATTTACCTTTTCCACGTCTAATGTGTTCCATTTCATACACAACTGATCATAAGAAGAAAAAAAAAACACACACACCATAAATCACCTAATTTAAAACGCAGTTTATTATAATATTCAATTTTTGCTAAATGATACCAATTTAATTGGGTTGATTGGTAATAAAAAAATATTTGCATAGTTCAATGTTGGGTATGCAGACATACATGTAGATCAATAAAATTCGTGAATGGTGTTTCAGATGTTGAGATGAAGATATTAAATGAATAGTTTTTTTGTACTGTGGCCACATTATATACGCTGCAATGCCGTTGTGGTAACGAATAAAAAATTTCAAATTGTGGAGCAGCACAATTGACAAACGTAATGTTTTTCTGTGCACAAAAAATTTGCTTCGAGTTTACAAATGAAGCACGTTTCATTCGCTGATGCATTACAATATTGTATCAATAAATAGAGGAAATTACGTAAATGTTTGTTCCTTTTGTAGTCAAAGGAATAAATACGATCGGTTGAATGTCGATCGATTCTTTATTAAAATACTCTCTTTTTTTTATTCAATTATTTTTCAATTGAAAGAAATTTCACTGTACATTTATTTATATTACGTTTTTTTCTTTTGTTTCTTTTGTTGTTATTGCGTTTGTTTACCTATCAAGCAATTGAATAAACTAATGAAATAAGTCCAGCAATTACATAAAAAATGTTCTGTTTTATGAAAACGGCAGCAGAAACTCCAAACACGCATTCATATTGTTGTCGATAGTTAATTATTTCAATTACCAGAGTATAAAATTTGTATCGTGGCATGTGTCTTTCCTCTTGGCAAAGACTTCAATAATTCATATAAATAGACTTATATCATCGAGGTGTGTTTTTTTTGAATGCATTCCGCCTTGATTCCATATGAAAATGTGCCTTCATCAAATACAATTATTTCAAATAAACATTTATTGTGAATGACACGTCAGAAAATATCGATTTTCACGCTACTGTGTTCTCATCCATTTTTTTATGATATTTGAATATGATGATTCGTTGTTTTTTTTTTTTGTAAATATACTATACAAAGATTCCATCTGAATATAATAAAGATAACATCAATGGACACAAATTTGAAAGTAAAACATCTGATTTTTTTCTCTCTTAATACATTAACTCCGACATCTTTCGCTAAAATTTCCAATGATAAATAATTTCGAGAATTGGGGATATGATAGTGTTTTAGCCGGAATTAAAAGAGAACAAGTGTTTTTTAAAAAGCGTTGTTATTATTATAAACAAAAAAATGACATAAAACGTGATAAAAACCAGAAATTAATTCATTGGCAGCGAAATCATTAAAATCGACGAATCTTTTCATGAGAATATGATTCAACGAAAAGTGAGCAAGATAAAACGAATTCAGGTGAAAGAAAGAATTCATATAAACTAGAAACAGAAACGAAATAAAATTCACCTGTAGTAGCAAACCTTATCAATTTCTATTTACCACACGCATCGCCGCGCTCAATTGAATAGATCTAACAATAATACAAGCTTCAAAATCCGTTATAAAACAGATAAAAATGTGCTCGCATTGATTCTTATCAGTTATCACTGTCATACATTATTTGGTATGAACATTTATATATAATTAGATACAAAACGATCGAAGCCTCCATGGTTTAATTTTGATTCAATGTTACCCAAAATAAAAATCACACGGGACCATTAACGACTTGTATAATTAAACAAATGATCTATTTTATATGAAAAAAAAAAAAAAATACCGAGAACAAATGGAAATTAAATCAATAATTACGTATGCATTTTTTATTTGCGGGATTTGTATTTGTTTGTATAAAAAGAAACGCACAACTTATGCTGGGAATGAGAAAATTAAATGAATATGATTGAAATATAGCTTGATATGATTCATAAGCGGTCGACGATGTCTTTTATTTCTTTTTTTTTTTTTAAATAAATGATGTTATTTTTGGTTTGCAATGGCATACAACAAATAAGTACAAGATATATTGCAATAATCATACATAAATAAAATGTACGTATTCTTTTCCCATAAGACCAAAAAATGGGAGCATTTATTACTGCACAACATTGATAAATGAAATCGCACGAATGAATACAATTATATGTCGATTATATTATATGGTATTCATAGAATGGCACAACTACAAAATAAACATTTGCGCAGATAAAGGAACTCCAGATTGAATAACGTGTGTATAATAGCTTTAGACATCTTCACGGGGACATTCTACTAATTAAAAAAACGGTTTCTGGCAACTGACACACACACACATACATATATATAACTCATTGTATTTAATCAGTGGTGTGTCCAAGATTTTTGAAAGGTGCATTGGTCTGTGGTGCTTGGGCAATATAGAACACGTTATCAGGAACTGGTCGGTGAACTTTGTGATTTGATAAATTTTCTAACATAAAACCAATTCAAATTAATTCGCGTCACAAAACTAACTCCATATTATATTAATCATTTTACAGCATTAGAAATAATGACATTCACATAAATTGGAATCGATTGTTTTCATTCGTTTGTGTACTGTGCATTTTGCGTATTTGCGTATATTTATTTTTCGTATTTTATCTATCATTTATAGCATTCAATATTCATTGAAATATACTTTTTTTCATTGCAGCACTCTATGTATTATAAACTAATGGCAGTGACATAGGTGAAAAACAACAACAAAAAATTACCTATTAGTGACATAAACAAAACAAAAATCAACAAGTAGCACACAATACCAAATAGACAAACATTTGTCTAAACTTCATATTTACAATAACTTATAAACGGACAAAAAGGAGAACATTCATATATTTAATGTATATTCTTTTTGAAAACACGAAATACAGTAAGATCAATCGAACGAGGTTTATTGGAAAGAATGACGTCAAGGTGAGTGGAAATGTATAATTAAAATTTAAAGAAAAACTAAAATATCTTGCATCAAATCGATGACCGTTGTGTTATTTATATTATTTTTCAATAATTTTCAATGATCAATTACTTTGGATATATAGGTTGGACCGTCTGTTTATATTGCTGGAGTCTGGCTCGTCGCCAGTTACTAGACGAGCTGCAGCCAAACAAATTGGCGAAGTTCAAAAATTGCATCCGCATGAATTGCACAATTTACTCTCAAGACTGTTAGTTTATTTGCACAGCCCTGTATGGGATGTAAGTGTATTCTGGCCATCTCACTGGTTACTCTATTTATTTTAAATATGAAATGCTTTGATTAATTTACAGACCCGAATTGCTGCCGCCCAAGCTGTGGAATCAATATTGAATAATGTTCCACAATGGAATCCGAAACCGTCTTCAGTGAAAACCGAAAATTTGTCTAGTCGAAACTACGAAGCCAGTCGCCTTACATTTGATCAATTCAATTTGGAAACCGTATTGGAAAAAGGAGCACGTTTGATTGGTTCGGAAGGTAGCGAATTCGATTGTACAGAAGATTCAAGTAGTACAGATGATCCAAATAATGTAAACGAACAAGATCGTTTAATTCGACAACGATTACAATTGAATGAGAAACTTGGATTGTGTCAATCGAACAGTTCGTTCGGCCTTTTGAATATCAATGACCTCGTTTCGTTAGATGACATGCGAAACACAACAAATAAATATGAACCCAATAAGTCTTTGTTACCAGTGCAAGAGGTACTCAATTTGGAATCAAATGGCTCAACATCGGCGTCATCGACGTCAATGAGTTGCCGTGAATTGAATCGTTTGGAAAGATTACGACGAAAATCACGACAACAACAGACAATAACGAGTCAAAGTGGAACGTCAATTAGTAATAATGTGAGCTCATCGAGTGTTGCATCTGGTGGATTGCCGACGGCAACATCTGTAAGCGCTACGTTTAGCCGAAGCAATTCAACCAGCAATGGATCGACCAGTGACGATCAACCGGAAGCCAAAAAATTTAAACCTAGTGAAACTGATGTGACCTATTCGTTATCAGAATCAGTACCAGATGGAACAGGCGAATGGACTGACGCTACAACGGACTGGCCACTCGAATCATTTTGTTCGAAATTGTATTTGGATTTATTCAATCCTCGTTGGGAGATTCGTCACGGTGCCGCAACTGCTTTGCGTGAACTGTTTAAAATTCAGGCGTCAGGTAATTGAAGAGAAATGCTCGTATTTATAATAATGAATAGAATGGTCTTAATTTGGAAATGTTATTTTCTATAAGCAGGTGCTGGAAAAAGTGTTTTTATGACAGCCGAAGAAATGGAAGCAAGCCATGTGTCATGGCTTGAAGATGCCGTTTTGCGTTTACTTTGTGTCTTATCGTTAGATCGATTCGGCGATTTTATATCTGATCAAGTGATAGCACCCGTCAGAGAGACATGTGCACAAGTGCTTGGAATTGCTTTGAAGGTTAACTAATTTGAAAAAAAAAAAAATCATTTTTGAATGACATTTTTTGTTTGGATTTTTTCATAAAGGGAATGCCGAACAATGTTGTACAAAGTACTGTTGAAATCTTAATGCGACTCATGAAGCAAAATGAATGGGAGGTCCGACATGGAGGTTTACTTGGCATAAAATATATGCTCGTTGTTCGAGAAGATTTAATGCAAACATTTTTACCGTTCACTATAAATAATATATTGGCCGGACTTTTTGATCCGGTCGACGATGTTGGTGCAGTTGCAGCTTCAACATTGATTCCAATTGCTGGCTCTCTTCCAAAATTGTTGAGCATCGATCAAGTTTCAAGTATTGTTAAAATGCTTTGGGACCTCTTACTTGATCAAGATGAGCTTGCGTCGGCCTGTAATAGTTTTATGGGATTACTAGCGGCCATTTTAAGTTTACCAAATGCTAGCCAGTGGCTCCAGTAAGTTAATTACGACTTTCATCAAACAAATACCGTTCTCTACAAAATGGAATATATTTGTATTTTGTTTTTATAGAATGGAACCAATGAATGTGCTCATACCTCGTTTATGGCCATTCCTAAGTCATACAACATCATCGGTGCGAAAATCAACATTGCAAACACTTAAAACGCTCACTCAGTGTAATGCAACCGAAACGACAAATGGATCCAATAAACCGGATGACAACGACAATAAAATGGTACTATCGGAGCAATCATCGAGTGAATTTGATAAAATTGTAAATGTAAACGCAAAAAATTTGTCACTTAATTTCGGTGTCAAAGAGTGGCCATCGATGCTACTGCAAGAATCTCTTCGGTTTATTTATCAACGTGTTTTAGTCGAACATGTGGCCGAAATTCAAACGATTGCCGAAGAAGTTTGGGTCAATCTTGTAACAAATGCAGAACTGTCTGCTCTCTTACACGCCGCATGTCCGTATGTATCGGCTTGGATGTGTTTAGCTATGCAACCGGCTCGGCTAGCATTCGATCCATCTCTTATGATTTATGCTAAAACAAATCCAACAAAAGAGCGTGGCAAACGGTTAAATGATCTTGATTTGAGTATGTCCAGCGAAAAGCATCATCCAAAAATGTATTTGGGCGGAATCGAAACAACTCCAGTCGATATTCGAGAAAAGAATATACCACGTGCTCGATGCATTGCCGCCAAAATGATTGGTCTCTTATCGAAATATTTAATTTTACCCGCACCCGGTGTCGTTTATACGCCTGAAGTTGAAAGTCCGATTCAATGCTATACAAAACTGTTGATTGGATATCTATCGTCTCGTTCTGCATTGCAACGACTTATAAGCGGCATGGTTATATCATTTTGGGCTGTTAATGATCCTGAATCGAGACCGGGTCCGACTGTACTTCAGGAAAAATTACATCAAGTATTGAATGAAATGGTTTATTACGATGAAGTTGCATTTTTATTAACTCGACTATTGCAAGAGTCCCGTGATTTTATAGCCACAATGAAACAATACAAAATTCCGTTCAGCGATTTTGATTCATTCAAAGTACTAACAATCGATCAGATACAAGTGTTGGCCACAACACAAACGGAGAATTTACGACAAAAATATCCATTCTTAAAACCAAAAACGGCCGATTTACTCGAAGAACGTGGCCGAAGTCTACAACAGTCTTTGGCGCAAACGAAACACGAACAGGACATTTTGAATGTTAGGTATGTTTGCACTTTTGCGCTTATGCAGATATTAGTGATTTAATTATTGTTTTTCAATTTGCAGCACTTTGGCTATTTTGGCTGGAGCGACAGTTAACATGGAAAGTATTCCGGATCGTTTAAATCCGGTGGTAAAACCCCTAATGGAATCCATTAAACGTGAACGATGTCAAATTATACAACAATTAGCAGCACAATATTTAGTAAAACTACTAGATTTAGTTCGTAATCGGAATCCAAATCCAATCAATAAAATTGTGATCAATCTTTGTCATTTGTTGAAAAGTGATTTGGAATTTACGCCAAGAATTGTAAGTTGCCACACGATAATGGTGATTTTTGGAAATGTTGCTTTCATCCAATAAGCTAAAATTTGGATTTATTTTTGAATCATTTCGTTTGCTTCAGATTGAGACGAATAAAGCGGTCACTGACTTCAATGCCAACGATGCTGAGACAGACAAACAAAATCCTTACCATGGAATACTTACGTTAACCATTCAAAGTAAAGGTGTTGATAGTCATGCTCCATCAGTTCCACGTGGTCCAGGTCGACCGCCTATAAATGACATTTCAATTGATGACATAGCCGATACAGAGGATCCGGTAATATTCTATTCAATTTCGAATTAGCCAAAACATTGGAATAAAATGTAATTTACAACTATGTTGTTTGTCGAATGTTTTTATTCATCTAGTGTCGTGAACAAAATCGAATTCAACGTATTGGAGCTCAATTCGCTATTCAAGCTGTGTGCACATATTTTGGCGAAAATTTAATTGAAAAAATTCCCATTTTCTGGAGTTTGATAAAAGATACCATCAAGATTACGGACGATGACATTCAAGCATTTTACACAACCGGAGATGATCGAAAACCGGTCAATTTTGATCAGGCCAAAGAGTTGATTTTATGTTTACAATTAATTGAATGTGCTGCAGTCGCAATACATTCAAGCTTATCTGATAATTTGCTGGAACTATTGCCAGAATTAAATTTACTGCTGAAACATCCGTTGAAAGCGGTAGGTTATTTTCTTTTGCTTTTATAAACTAAAAGCAAAAATGTTTCGATAAAATACAGAAATCTTTTGTTGAAATGTTTTCAGGTTCGTCATATGACAGCACGATGCTTAGCAACGTTGGCATTAATCGATTCATCTAAAGTTATGGATACAATCGTTAAAGATGGCCTTTTGCAACTGCAAACAATTGAAAATGTGATTTATCGCCAGGGTGCACTGGAAGCAATTAGTTGTATTGTTAATAAATTGCAATTCGAAATTATTCCATATGTTTTGTTGCTGATAATTCCATTGTTGGGACGAATGAGCGACCCAGACAAAACCGTTCGCTTGCTATCGACACATTGTTTTGCCACATTAATTCAACTAATGCCATTAGATTCACTCTCCGAATCAAAATCATCAATACTTTCCAAAGATCTACTAGCGCGCAAGACAAAAGATGAGGAGTTCCTTGAGTGCTTATTTTCACCAAAAAAAATACCAAATTTCAATGTACCCGTTCCAATCGATGCTGAACTACGAAGCTATCAACAGTCTGGTGTAAATTGGCTATGGTTTTTGAACAAATATAAACTGCATGGCATACTTGCCGATGATATGGGACTTGGTAAGAGCATAAAATGTTTCATCACACATTTCGAATCGAATTATAATCGTTAAACGTTCAATTCTTGTTTGTAGGTAAAACATTACAAGCGATATGTATATTAGCGGGTGATCATCATCAGCGTATACAGAATAAGGAAGCAAATCTACCGAGTTTGGTCATATGTCCGCCCACATTAACTGGACATTGGGTGTATGAAGTAAATAAATTCGTTTCAAATGAATTCTTGAAGCCATTACATTATGTTGGTTTTCCAAACGAACGTGAAAAATTGCGTCCGAAAATTTCATCGCACAATTTAGTCATTGCATCGTATGATATTGTTCGCAAGGATATTGCGTTTTTCAGTCAAATTCATTGGAATTATGCAATTCTAGATGAAGGCCACATTATAAAGAATGGTAAAACAAAATGCTCACAGGCCATGAAACAATTGGTAGTGAATCATCGGCTCATTTTGTCCGGTACACCAATCCAAAATAATGTATTGGAGCTGTGGTCATTGTTTGATTTTTTGATGCCCGGATTTTTGGGCACCGAAAAGCAATTCTGCAGCAAATTTAGTCGTCCCATTTTAGCGAGTCGTGATGCAAAAAGTTCGGCCAAAGATCAAGAAGCTGGTGCACTTGCAATGGAATCATTGCATCGTCAAGTATTACCATTTATTTTACGACGAGTCAAAGAGGATGTACTTACCGATCTGCCGCCAAAGATAACACAAGATTTACTATGTGAATTGAGCCCATTACAGGAGCGTCTGTACGAAGACTTTAGTAAAACGCATTTGAACTCAGACGATTTGAACGAATGCTTAGAATCGATTGATCGATCGAATGATGGAAATGCTTCGGTTCGAAAAACACACATCTTCCAAGCGCTTAGATATTTGCAAAATGTTTGCAATCATCCAAAATTAGTTCTAACCAAAGAACATCCAGAATACCAAATCATACAAGATGATCTATCCAAATCAAATAGAACACTAAACGATATCGATAATGCGGCCAAATTGCCCGCACTAAAGCAACTTCTTCTCGACTGTGGCATTGGAAATGAAGCATCCAATGGAGACCCATTAACACCGATTAATCAACATCGTGCCTTAATTTTTTGTCAATTAAAAGCTATGCTTAACATCGTTGAAAATGATTTGCTGAAGAAACATATGCCAACGGTGTCATATTTGCGATTGGATGGTAGCATACCGGCTGGTTCACGACACCAAATTGTCACAAAATTCAATACCGATCCAAGTATTGATGTATTACTTCTAACCACTCAAGTCGGTGGTCTTGGTTTGAATTTAACCGGTGCCGATACGGTCATATTTGTTGAACATGATTGGAATCCAATGAAAGATTTACAAGCAATGGATCGAGCTCATCGAATTGGTCAAAAGAAAGTCGTTAATGTTTATCGTTTGATCACACGCAAATCGTTAGAAGAAAAAATAATGGGCTTACAAAAATTCAAGCTATTAACAGCAAATACAATAGTTAGTGAGAAAAATGCTTCAATGGACACCATGGGAACGGAGCAACTATTCGATTTGTTCACGTTGTCAGAAGATGCATCGAAAACAAATAAAACCGATAAGGACGGTAAACAAACGAACTTAAGTATAAAGCAAGCATTGGAAAATCTTCCCGATTTGTGGGAAGACAAAGAATACGAGGACGAGTATGACATGACAACGTTTATTAAAACACTCAAATCTTAATATAAAACAGATAAATTGTTGAAAAATAAAAAAAAAGCATTCGCTTTCATTCGAAAGCGTTCTGATGTAAATTAAAATCAATTAATAAAAAAAAATTCTATCTATATCAGTGCTCAATATATTTCTTAAACATGGTCCCTTTTTTCTCTCTTCAATCTGATTCATTTTCATATCGAGAAAATATGAATAACAGCAGCCTCTTTGTTATTCAAAATCATCATATCGATTCCGTGGCATACATTTTTTTATTCCATTAGCATTGAGCCAAGTGAACAATCCATTTCTAACCCAAGTAACCAACAATTCTGTAATGCTCTTTGTGCAAGATTTCTTAAGAAGGATGAATTGGGTATATGGCATAACCGGTGCAACAACTCACCGCTTTACAAAAACGTTTGGGCGATATCATTGATAGCAAACTGAGTGCTTCTGTTCGACAGAACAATCATACACACGTAGAGGGGGTTCAATTTTTTTTTCTTTCAAATTACATCAAATAAATATTTTGTTCTTGCAAAATCGACATTTTTATTGATTTATTATCATAATTGTTGCGCATTTATTTTGGGTCACACGTTTTTCATTATTCACGTGCTTGACAATGGACACCGAAAATGGAACGTAAATCTAATGCAGTAAGTATTATTTCACACTGCTTGATTGTCCAATACGACAGTCTGATAAACTCAATACGGACGATTTTAATAAGGAAAAAAAATCTTTTACTAACTTTTTCTGTTCATTTTTTCTATTATTGTAATGGAATATGTTTTTAGTTTGCACGTGATAGCATGTTATGTGATCAAAATTCGAAAAAAGAACATCCAACGATCGAGACCATAATATGTTGTGCGAACGATTTTTTTAACCCACATTTGAATAAGGTGTTTGGTGATTGAAAAACAAATGAAAATAAATGCTCAACACGTTTTACTCAATTATGCTTTTATTTAGCAATAGCATCCAATTCTAAATATGCCAACTTTCATTTTTTTCGGCTTTTCTCTACGTTCGTTTCAAGTGTCTGTGAAAACAAAATACAAAAAAGACAGAACAAGTAACATGAATTGATTACATTTTTTTTCTTTGTGTAAAGTGAAAGCGCGTGATGAACGCTTATAAAATTTGGCAAAATGACCTTATTATTCATGGGCGCTAAGACGAGTCTTTTCGTTTTTTACTTTTGCATTTAAACTAAAGTTTCGTTCTAAGCGCCATCGCTTTGTACAACTTTCCAATGGAAAAAGTTCACTTTCCATAATAGGGCCTAAATCTATTCAACATCGTGACAAAAGCATAAGATTTTTTTTTCCGTTATATATGTCATACAGTATGTGACCCACAATGATCATCTCCAATAAAAATTCTTTTGATATGGTATTGCCTAATTCCAGCCCACAGGTCAGTACAGATTCTCTGAAAAAATATTAGATCTTTTCTGATGCCCAATTTTATTAGGAAATGTGAAGAATTCAAGAAATTCTTGACAAGAATTTTCTGGCATTGAAAGTAGATATTTTGAGATTTTTAACAACATCTTTCGAATTTTTACAAATTGTTTAGAGAGATAAGCTATTGACCTTATTGTAAACATAACCATTCGCAAATTAGAAGAAATTTATTCATTCAATTCTTCTAATTTCTTTCACTTTCCCTCGAACTTGTCTTTTATTTGCTTTATAAATACTGATTTTCAACATAATCAAGGGGAAAAAACGAAATATTATCATTATAAACTCTCGGTTGGTCATATTTGGACAATTTTATTATAATAACAATTTCTTTAATCAAGTTTCCATTTCACACTTTGATCAATTTAATAAAAAAAGTTTAAATTCGAAGAACGATCAAAACGCCTTTTTTACAAATAAATCTCCTTGAGAAGTGAGGGAGTAAAAAAAACTACCATCACCATAGATGATGACGTCTCTGGAAAAATCTCGGGGGGTCTCTGGAAAAATCCATGGGGGGTCCCTGACGAAGTCAACAATTTGTCAGAAATGAGGATAAAATCGTTTTTTTTTTGCTCTTCACTTTTTTGACGAAAAACCCTAGCAAATCGAAAGAATTTTCTCGGCCAAAAAAAGTGAAGAGCAAAAAAAGGTCCTAATTTGAAATTTTTGAGGGTTCCTAAAATATTTTAGAGGGGGTAATCCGAATTCCGAACCCTAGGAACCCTCGTCATCACCGATGGCCATCACAATGTTGTATTTATTTGGAATTTTCTTCCACATTTCGAAATCCAATTCCATTCTTAGAGATTATCAAATTTACTCAAATTGGATAAACGGAAAAAAGTCTCGAATTTAGACATTTTTGTATTTAGAGTATTTTAAAGATATCCGGATTATGGAATCGATAGGTCCTAATTGCTTTTGAGACAAACAGAGTTGAAAATGCCTTTAAATAAAGCCTGGTCTTTTTTTTTTAATACCAAACAGATCTTTCTTACCTATTTATGGAATGCGGTTACATATTAGCTATTGGTAATTTTTAGAAATTTTATATATATTTCAATAGAAAGTCATTTGTCTTTCTTGTCTCATCCATAGCGGCTTTCAAGCAATTCGGCAATTCTTCTGTGAGTGTACAGTGTAAAAACTCTATTGTGGCGCATGTGAATTAAATGGAAATAAGCTTGTTTCGTTTTCTTAATTAAATCTATTAAGAACCAAGACGGTAGCAATTTCGAGCTGAAGTATTAAAATCAAATCAAACTCACAAAAATATACACAGTCACAATGATAATATCACACCGAGGCACATATGTCGTCTCATTTAAGCGCACAGATTCCATGTAATATTCAAAATAAAAAAGTCCTTGATCAATGCCAAGGTTAATTTAATGATAAATACAAAAATTACATTACGAGCCCATCATTCGAACATTGCTAAAAATGTTGCCAATTGTTGTTGATGAAAAGAAAAACAAACGATGCACGCATGGCAAATTCTCGATGGTGTTCGTGAATGAATTTCAATTCATTTAAAACGAATTGTATTTCGATCTGAATTTTTTTATGGTCATTTCAAAGTACGACAACAACCAAAACAACAACACCAAAAAAAATGTCACGACATTGACTATTTTACATGTGTTAAATTTCCATACGAGAAAAATGGTTTGATTTATTTTCGCCCATAGAAAGTGAATTTGACCAAAAGTGAAAAGTAAGCGCTGAGTAGACACAGCGTTTAATGATGTAGATGGGCCATGCCAAAGCGATTCATGTTGTTTCATTTTGGTCACTTCACTAATTTACTCATTTCAACGTTTGAATGTCCATGAAATTTGTTCTGTTTTTTTTTTTGGTTGCTTTCAAAAAAGAGAATCTCTTCATTTGTCGTTTTTTGGTTACTTTTGTGCCAAATTTGGGTCATCACATAAATGAATGTGTGCCGATTTAATTTTTTATGTGACGTGATTACTATTACTATCATCTCACTCTTTTTGCCTTTCCCATCAACTTACAAACGGAAAGGTAACGGAGCTGTACCACTTTTATACACATCATCGAAGTACAGATTAGTTGTCATTTCAATCTCCTCTCCTTCTTCTTCGTTTGTAGCGTCGGTTGTTTTTTTTTGTTATCAACGATTTGTTGGTTCGAACTTATGGTTATCGGCTTTTTGAAAGTATCGTGTTAACCGACATTTTCGTTGCTGACCACCATGAATATTATCTTACAAAAAGTTTCTCGGTTAATTTTGAACTTCTCATTTGAATTATGTATATTTTGTATTCAGGCGGTTTTTTTTTTGTGTATCTGTAAATAAAAGTGAATGTGCTATGCTTGTGTTTTGTTATTTGGGCTTTCTTTTTGAATTTTGTGCGCTGTTTCACTTTCTTTCGAAGCAGCTGATTACTGTAAGTGAATATGCCGAAATTTCTTTCGCGTACGAATACCATTTGTTGTACGTTTCCGTTGATCGCACTTTAAAATTGAAATCATCATGTGAAATATGGTTTTTTTTCACGCTAAAATCTTAATATGCATTCACTATATGTATTTGCTCAATTCTTAGCTTATCTCCAAATTTTGGAATGAGAACGCACGTAGCTGAAAGAAAAAACAAACTATGAAATGTAAGGCGGTTCTTTTGTAAACGCACATTTTATTTTTCAAGAATATATTTCGATATTCATGAATACGATTTTTTGTTAAGTTTATTTAATCTGTTCATTTTGATAATTCTTTTGTTCGTTCGGAATACAATGTTTTCAAAAAATATTATTTATCTCTGAATTTTGAATGGAAAGCTGTTGTAACTGATATAAGTTCATATTTTTATAACATATTTCCTAAAAATTATTCAACACAGTAAAAAAAAAACATTTAAGGATCAAAATTTGGGTCACTTAATGCATGGTATTTGATTTATTTAACGGTATCATATGTTATAATTTATTGTTTTCAGTATAAGATCAATCCTAGACAATGGAATAAAAAAATACATAAAATAATTCAAAATCGCGTTGATTGATTTTGACAAGCCATGGTCCTTTTACCTGTCAAGCACATTGAACCAATAGGTAGTTTCTTCGTCAATAAATGCATTCAGGACAAAATAATGCCAATTAGAAACATTTTCAGAGTGTACCCTTTCTGAGAATTCGCGAATTAAAAAATATATAATATTATAAAACCTTACAATTTTTCGTATCATACAGTTTTCATACAAAGGAACTGAATTAATGTTAAAAAAAATACCAAAAGACTGTTTTACCGCACACTCCTTTAAATAGCAGCCAATGTTAGTTGTAAGTTCAGTCACTATGTGTACTGCTGTGGTTTAGTCTCACGCTGCATAAACGAGCATGCAAAAAATTTAGAAAACTTTGTTGTAAAAACAACAACAACGTAGAGTGGATCATTTAATTGAAATTTGAATAAACTTATTATTTCGCTAAGGGTGTCAATTTCACAAATTTATGTTATTTTGAGATTTTTGCAAAAAAATTACACTTAAAAGGTGAAAATTACCAAAATTTTCAAACTCTTTAAAATTAAGTTTACAATAAGTGTACAACATTGCTTTGCCCTAATCTTTCATTGATTATCTAAGGGGGAAAAACAACAAATAGAGACAAATCAAAACTGCCTCTAAAAAAAGGATCTACCAACTCTATCTGATATTAAACAAAGTTCGAACGTCGTGCATCATCAACGATAGGAACGTATAGAATATTTTGAGAAAAGAATTGAAAATATTCAAAATCGTGAGAATTGCATTAAATAATAAACAAAATATGATGATAAATTTTAACTCACATGGTCTCTTTATACGTCTGTCATTTATTTTATTATGACATGTAATGAGAATAATTGCACACGGTGTCTTGATAATCGACCACATGTACATGCATATTACCAAATGTGCCTTATATGTAGAGAAATCCATGCTGTGTAGTTAATAAAACGCATAATCTCTTTGTAAGAATTGACGGGAAGTTTGGATTGGATCATTATCAGTGATAATACTTAATTTGTGTCTGTGTTTTCATTTAGTTTGACTCTGAATTGAAGTCAGTTACATGAAAATAAAAAATGTTCCTTAAATTGCACTATCATTGTGCGTTACAATTGCTGCATCCGTCACTCAATCATGGGTATATGCAGTGAACCGCATTGCTACTTGCACTTTCGATTTGGTTTTGTTTACGTTGCATTTGAATGAAAGTGAACGTTTGTGCGCGCGCACTTACTTTGTTATTAGTAATGTAATTTCTTAATATAAATAATGTGCTGAGCTGAGCCGAACTGAACAAAGCGGTGCTGAATCAAGTTAAGCGATGTATATATATATATATATATATATACATGTGTGTTTATGGGACTTACGAGATGAGTACATTTACTACTTACGTCACATAAGAGAGCGCGTGCAGTTGGCAATGATATGTTTGGCGAAAACTCTCACTTGCTTGCAGCCCGTCCGATGTTCTCGTTTTGCGTTCATACACGATGTAATTGTATTTGCTTTTGTTACTTTTTTGTATTTCTTTCATCAGCTTCTTGTTAAATCGTTTACGCTACTGATCCAGTCTACTGTATCACACACAAAAAAAAAATCTTAACAATTCTGCGCTGTATGTGCGCATTCGTGTGTGTCTTGTTTTGTTTTTGTTCAAGAACCCTTTAAATGATATTTTATTTTATCATCTGACAGTTAACCTTTTATTAACAATGAAATTTATGACCAGTCTAGTCATCAACAAAACAAAGTCATTTTTTTTCGCCACATAAATGTCTGCCACGGGCCATAGATATCAAACGATCAGCAGCCAAATCAATGCACATTACGTCGAATTCTCTCGACTCTTCTTAATAATAGTTACTCTTCAATTTCTTCTTCTTCTTTTTTTGTCAGAATTTAATTGAATTGAGATCGTGATATCGCAGTCGACTCGGCGTATGTTGTACAATTCTTTCAATTTGTTGACAATTTTTGTCATTCAATTGAAAAGGGCGAGACAAATGAGTTAGTTTAACTTTAAAAGCTGCCACAATCATTTAAATGAGCGATACGATTTGGAAGATTTACACACATTCGATCGTGTATAGCACAATGGCTGCGACCGACTGCAATAAATTACATTTTTCATATACATACAGAGTGATATAGCTCCTGATAAAGAACATTTTAAAAAATGAGTACTGTTGAGAGAATCACGCATTTAAAGAGCGTCGCTATGAAACTACTGAAGTAATGCAATTTTAAACTAAATAGAATCATGATTACAGTGATTTGAATTAAATTAGCCTATTAACTTCTAGCTACCAGCATCATTTTGGAGGGCAACAGACTTTTTACTCGAATCAAATCTAAAATTGTTTGTGTTTTTTCTAGCTCGTTTCGATGGCATTTATGTTACGTGAAAATATTGAAAATGTACTAGTGGAAGACGATAACAAAAGAATGAAATTGTTTATTTTCATTATTTTTGTTTACGTTGATCGAAATGTTGTCATTGTACGGAATTGACGAAAAAAGCGTAAAAATATATCTTATGAGCAAAACAATAACAATAGGACACACACATTGCTCATTTTTTTTTTGGTTATACTTACATGCACACGCATAATATGTTCATTTGATGACTATCCTTTCCATTCATAATTTACCTTTTTCGCTCCCACTATACAAAATGCATTATTTATTTATTTATTTTCGGTAGTTCAGCTTCTATTTATTTGTTGGCTCATCGGTTGAAATTAAACACCATTGATCGCACAATATTCGCTTTGTATTTATGACTCAAGTCGAAAACTTAATCACATGCCACATGTATGTGGCGAGTCTGTTTGTCTGCGTGCAAGATGATGAATAAAGTAAACTGTGTGTAAATTTTTCGTAAGGAACAAGACCAAAAATTTACTCAAAAGACTAATACCGAAGAAAATAAAAGCAAGTCGACATCATCGCCGTATGTGCGCATTTCATTCCACACATTTTTCTTTTGCTTAGTCTGTGCCATGTACACATAAGTATATATATATAAATATATATATATGTACATATTATATTCCAGAAAAATTGTATGTGCCTTACATCGGTATGTTTGAATTGTAGAGTTTGTGTGTGTTTATCTTTTTTTTTTCGGCGTAAGCAGCGGATACTACATATGCGCGATTTTTATACACACGCAACAACGAATCGAATACATGGATGAAAATATACACTAAACACGGTGGCGGCGACAACGACTGCGACCAGGAACAACAACAATATCAAGCAATCGCTGTAGCTAGCAAGCGCACATCAGTGCTCAATGTTTATTGAATACTGACAACGAGAAATGCCGATTGCCAGTCTTTTTTTGCCATTGGCGAGGAGAAGTTGTGTGAGAACTTTGTACAAACGAATATTTGATATTCGTTTTATGTTTTCAGTCTGTTAGAAAATTTGATGATATTATTTTTTTTGTTGGTATATCGTGACAAACAATATGATTTATAGTAAATATATACCAAACTAGGGTGCTCAACGAATTATGTTTTAAATTACCAATAAATACACACAATAAATAATTAAATAAATAAAATATATTTGTTGAAAATTTTAAGCGTTGCTTGATGATAAATATCCATAAATAAATAAATGTGCACCTTTAAATTAGTTGTGATAATAAAAAGAGCATCAGCCAGCACAGATATCAGACGGTGCAAGCAGACACTTTTGACATACAGACACGGCAAAAAACATAATATATACATATATTCATAATACAGACTGCATAGACACAGCGACCGGATCCTTTACGGAGATTCGATTTGAAGCGAAAAAAAAAAACCATTCGATGTAATGAGGCGGTTTGACAAAAGCTCCTTTTAAATGGAATTAAACCCAAAGAAATTCTCACATTTATCATCTCACATTATTGTAGCTTTGAAGCTAAGTGAATTCGAAAATTGGAAGAACAACCAATAATAATATCCAAGGAAATTTTTCGTAAGTTTTCATTAAGTTATTATTGTTTCATTTTTACTTCTTTTAAATTATTATTGGCCACAATTAAGCTATGATTATTTTCGCAAAACTATCTAGTCTGTTAAAACTTGGCATTCAGTATTGTTCACTTTCAACTTTTCATTTTCTACTGTTCGATTCCTGCCGTCAACTGAGTGTTTGCTTGGCGGTTTGTGTACATGTTTTTAACACGAATAAGTTTCGTACACCTAAAATACAAAACTGAAATCGAAATGAAAAAAGAGAGAGAGAGAGAGAGAGAGAGAAAAAAAACACATACAACACGAAAATAACAACAACAAAATCACCATACGCACATAGCAATAATAGTTGGTGGCAGGAAAGAGACGTGTGCACCACAATTATTTGAGGAGTGATGATATAAACGAGAAAGAGAACGAACGATGTAAATAATATAGTATACAGTGAGGATAAAATATCTATTGACTCACCGACACCAAAAAGAAAGAAAGATAGCTAAATATCGCCATAAAACGTAAGAAATATTCGATCGGTTTTTTGTTTATTTGTTTTTACTTCACTCGCTACGCAATCAACCTGTTCTAAACAAACGAACAAAAAGATTAGAAGCATTGTCTCGCCCTCTCGTTCTGTACCATTCATTTCACCTGTTGTTTAGTTGTTTGGTGATAAATACAAACAAATGTTTGAAATATATTTGATTTACAAAAAAATACATACGTTTTTGTGACGTTCCAAAAATGAGTTGATAGTCACACTGAACATCATTTCTATGCTTAAATGTGACATTTTACTTGATTTGCTAATGGCCTTATAAACAACAACAACGATAAATTGTTGCTGGGTTGAAATCCTTTTTCTTTGGCAAACATCTCCTTAATTTTTGTGTATTTGACCAGATGTGTGAAACGAAACATCATCATATGGTTCTACATGCTTACGCTTCTTGGTTGGAAAATGTAGCGCAAAAATATTGAAAAATAATTCGATTTGCCAATATATTAAGGAATATTGAATGTTATTTCTTAGGTTATTTTTTTTTGTTTTGTTCGTTCCACAATAACCCTGAATGTCTTGGCTTTGTATGGGTACAGTCGCCTCATTTATTTGCTCTGCCAACATAATCGATACATTTTTACACATGACAATACGTAAAGATGGTATGACAACAAGAAAATAAATACAAATATGTATGAAAAATCTGTTGTTCTCTCACATGAGAGCAGTTAATTGTGCGTGTGATAAATGTCATCAAAATCACTCTATATATACACTAACAACATATGTACATCATGGTCTACGTATCGGTGGAACTTGTTCGCTTTAAACAATTTTAAAAAAAAGATGAAGAGAAATACCTTATTTATAACGATAATAAATCATCAACAAAAATCAAAATAATAGTAATAATAATATCAAAAAGAAGAATTTTATTATAACATTCGTATTTACTTCTATTAATAGACAATATTAAAGAAAAAGCCAGCTAAAAAAAGATATACCGTCTACAGAAATCAATGCGAACACACAAAACGTACAAATACTCCAACCCAATTTCGACTGATCAGTATGCAAGCAAAAATATTCACACAAACATACAAAAAAAGAGACAAAATTACGCGGATAGAGAAGAATTTATTTCATTCTAGTTTAGTTTTCACTTTCAATTATTGATTGATAAAACGATACGTTAAGTTGAAATACGAGTTTTGTTTTTGTCTTCAAGCGTTCGTTTGTTTGTTTATTTTTTTTTTTTTTTTCGTGTGGTTTTGTTTGCGTTTGTATCATACTGGTCTAGTGTTTGTGTTATGCTCTCGTAGTGATTTTATAAATGTGTTGTTCACTCTATTCCATGTTCAGTTTCAGCAACGTATATAAATTGGCATACACTCGATCATGCACATAATCATAATTAGCATACAAGTGACTGACAAGATGTGTTCTTTTCTTTACCTTTTTTCCCGTAATTAATAGTTAATAAAATCTACAACGATGCATTTTGCATCACTTTGTTTTTGGATTACTTCAACAATCAACACACACTTCCACTCGAATTGAAAGTGAAAGTGAATATCTGGAAATGAGCGAAAAAAAAAATTATTGTCGATTGGAATGATGTACAACAAGCGAAATGATTATAAATTCACGACAAAAAACCCTCATCCACAGCACCGATGACATTCCATACGAACCCATGGAATCATCGAATATGAATTTGTAATAAAAATATGACTTGACGGTAATTCATCTTTACTTATTTTCCTCACAACTGGAAACGTTGTATACTGCATACGTATAATAAATAAAATTCATGGCAAGTGCCTAATAATAATAAAAAAAGAAATGATAAGTAAGATATTTTAAAATTGACATCATTTTATTGCACATATACACATCAAATCAACGGCAGATCGTTATAAGATTAAGCTGTCAAAACCACTTCAAAGTGCATATAATACAACAATATATACATTTGCGACGCGTTGTGTAACGCAAGCTCGTTCAAATGTGGTGCCAATTTTGTTTTATTTTATTTTTTTATTTGCAATCAATTTTAATATTCTCCCACCGTTGACGCATCAACTGCAATCGAATCATTATCATCGTGTTATCACAACGATGGTGTAAAATCCATTAATTCGATAGCCTGCATGTACAAATAAGGTGATTTTTGCCACCACTTTAAAACCAATTTGAAAATGGTGTATTTAAGGAGTCTGCTTTTCAATCAAACGATGACATTACATTGTCAATCTAAATGGTATATGAGAAATACTGAAAATGTGTTGAATTTTGGAATTTTTGTGTAATTGTGATGTGCTCAGCACGATGTGTATCCCATTCGTATTGTTTTGGTCATCTTGTATGTACGCTTTATCAAAAAAATTCTCATGATTGTATTTCTCTCAATTATAAATAAATAGTTCAAGGTGTACGATTATTGTCGTTGTAAATTTGCCATCAATACTTACCTCATTTATAAATAACAAGCTGTTTCTGTGCGTATGTGGACAGATGCATCTGTTTGTTTGTCATAAGAAATTATGTCATATATATTTAACGTGTATTATACTCTGGCTAAACGCATCGAATGTGACATGTTGAAAAATAATTTGTGTCACTAAATTCATCCAAATATATTCGTTTATTGTTTGAACTAATTAAAATATGATTGCATGTTTTAGCCAGACTTAAAATATGGTTTGATGTTTTGGATTTGACGGACGGAAATACGATATAACTACAATTCCCTTGGCGCAGTGAAAATGAAAGTGATTAGTTCAAAAGAGCAAAGACCGCTGAAAATCGATTGAACTAGTTTCACAACGAAACTAACTGCATTGCTTCACACTGTTTGGTTGGTCGGTTGGTCGTTGATTCAAATGTATTGTTCTACTAAGCTTCAAATACGCTTTTGATTGTGTGCATTTTCTCATAGTCGGTACATTTCTACGCATGTGTCATTCCCTTTATATTTTCCCATCGCACGGCAATGAGTATTCATTTATTTTTGGCACGAGAATACACTCGGCTGCAATCCGTAATGTGATGATGTTGATTGCTTTTATTTAATTGATTTACAAAATATGCACAAAAATATTGCGTCGCGCGTGGCCTTTCTTTGTGTGTTTCTGATGTTTTAACATACACACAGAAACAAAAGCAAACCAAAACAAAAGATATACATATTTGCTTGGTGTTCCATTAATGCCCAAATCTATCACGAATATGGTTGTTGTAAATGCGCGAAAGTATGTCGCAGTGATAGAATGAAACGGCAGATACTGTGCTGTGCACATGAAGGCAGCCCAAATACGATTTTATAAATATAGTCGAACGTCTTGGCGTCGAATAAAGTTTTTTTTTTCTCAATAATTTTCGGAAGAGCGTAGTTTATCAACCTGTCACACAATTTTCAAGGAATGTATGATATGAACGAGCACGCAATCACTTCATTCAGGCGACATTTTGAACTCATGTATACATGAAATTTATGAGACGTTGAATCTAAACTCATTCTATTCAATACTTTGTACTACGATTGGAAATCGCGCCAAACAAATGAAGTCAATAAACTTTGAATTATGCTTTTTTTTCTCGGACGATGTCGATCATACTTTGTACTGGAACATACAGTGACGAAATCACTTTTATTTGAATGAACACAACATCGTTTGATATAAATGCACATTGAATTTTTGTGTGAACGAAAAGCTATAAATTTTACGGATTTTGATCATCATGGGATGATCAAACGTTTGCCTTTGGACAGAACAATTTAAAAAAAAAAAATATTTTCCACAAAATTTGGATGTTTATAAGCTTCTATTTGTTGTTGTTGTCATTGCAATGCTGACGGGTTGTCAGCAGACATTGATGACGTCAATATTATTAGTCCCTTTGATTCACTTTCAATTTTCTCCATTTTTTTATATTCCAATATCTTATCTGTTTTGTTTCATCTCTTTTTCTGTCTTCTTCACATTTTATGTAATTTTTTGAGACTGTGTTTTTGAACTGCACTTTATCCCATGTGGATGTCTAATTTTAGAAAATATGAAATACCCAAATAAAATTTCAATCCGAAATTCAAATTGGTACGAAGAGAGAAGATGAAGTAGCAAAAATGCAACTGATTCGTGTGTCTGTCTGTCTCTATGTGTGTGAGTGAGTGTTTGGTTGAGTATGTGTGTGCTTTCAAAAATCACAAAGAAGCAGCGCAAATAATAAATTATGATAAACCAGTTTCACTTTTCAGCATGATATTCATTCAAAAACAGCAAACGCAATGAAAATTATCATTTAATTTTATTTTTTTATTATTAATATTTAAATATGTTGGCACCAATAATTTGTCATAGAGTAAATGTGTAACCTCCATCCGACTCATCAATCGCCGTTGTTCGTATTTAAAAAAAAAAAGTCATAACATTTATCGTTAAATGCATCGTAATTACCTGCTCTAAATAATAATTTACGGCTTAATTAGTGGACCCGCA